GGCTGAAGATGTAGCTTAGTGGTACAGCACCTGTCTAAATATGTTCAAGGTCCCAGTTTCAATGGAAAAACAAAACACAAACAACTGCAGGGCCAAGAGTGTAGTTCAGAGGCAGAGCCGGTGATTTTTTTTTTTTTTTTTGAGACAGGGTCTTGCTATGTAGTTTAGGCTGGCCTTGAATTCTTGAGTTCCTCTTGCCTCAGCCTTCCACGTGCTGGAATTACAGATGTGCACCACCATGCCCGCCCATAGCAGGTAATTATTAGCATGTATGAGATGCTGGAGAAGAGGAATTGCACCAATACTTTTGCAGACAGGCACGTGGAATGGGATACTGCTATTCCTACCTCTCCTATAGGCCCTTAGCTACAACGAGCAAGAGACAGCCAGGGCAAGACCCACCCCTGCTCTTCCACCCGAGCCCCCAGGAAGCAGAAGCTCCAGCCACAATCTCTCCGGGTATCACCACAACACACAGAACAGTGGTGACCCTGGACGAGGACAGCTGTGCAGTTCAATGGCCTGCAGCCAGAGCCGGCTCTGAATAACGAGCTGTCCTTTGGGGCAGCTGAGATTACATCCATTCCGTACAGTCACAGTGTGCAGTGGCCAGCGCAGCTTCATGCTGTTTCTGCAGAGCAATCCCAATATTCTCTGAGACTACGGCACTGCTGTCAACTCTCCCTGGCCCCAAGCCCTTGCTCTGTCACACCACTGACTGCCTTCTAAACAGCTGCAATGGAGTTGCCCATTCTCCCCACAGCCTCTCTCCATGGCAGACTGTTCCCCTGAGGGAAGAAGCAAGTCTGCTGGGGCCTGGTTTCCTCTTCCCGCAGCCAGGCTTGGGCTTCTCGAGGAAAGGTTTTTAGGTGAGTAAGCCAGTTTCTCAAATGCATCAGGTACCTCAGCGCCTAGCTGTGCGTTACACTGCTCCTCACTGAGATGCTCAGGACCCTGGTGGGACTCAGCCTACACAGAAGTCCCCTGCTAAACCGGAATAATATTATTTTATAGCATCTACAACTCGGAGCCCCAGCCTTACCAGAAATCCGTTTACCTTCTTTTGGAGCGGGAATTTTAGAGTTGACTGATCTGCGTTTCTGTTTCTGAAAATCAAAACAAACAACCACAATACAGGGCTTTTGTCAACTCTAAATGGGGCTATCCCAGGCCCACGTGCTGCGCAGTACCAAAAAGCAAATCAGCCAAGAGCAAAGAAAGGACTTCCTGGGGCTTTAGCTGTGCACCGACGACGGGTGCCTACCTGGACAGTTACATTCTCCTGCAGGGGCAGATTGTCCTTCGGGTACAAAGGAGGAAGCTGTAAGAGTTCTGGGTTTATTGCAGCCACATCCTCAAAATCAATCTGCAAGGAAGGAGAGCTTCAGTGAAGCCACATTCAAGCCAATCGCACCTGCAACCACGGTCATCCCTAGATTCAGCTTTACCAAGCGTAAGTTCCACAAACTTCTGATAGCTATAAAACAGAAGGTCCTTTGAAAAGATTTACCATTGGCATTAGGTGGATACGGGTGTCTGATGTCCAAGCCAAAGCCAGATCTCAGGAATGAGAATGAACTGAAGAGAAGGCAGATGGACAGGCAAATAGGCAGTGCACGGAGGAACCAGGCCACCGACTCTCCTGTCCTCCTGGAAGCGGGGGCCTCTGGGCACAGCCCCTGAGCTGACTGACTGGCCCCTGCTGGCTGACTCGGGGAGGAAATGAGTCGTCTGGTGACAGTCAAGAGCGAGGGCCTCCAGGATCTTACAGGCAAGAGCAAGTTCCCCGACAGCTGCTACCTAACCCTAAGCCTACCTACATTTCTACTGGCACAGAAACTTCTTACCAGTCACAGTTTCCTGTCACGCCCAAAATGAGGTCACAATTCTAGGTTTACATCATCAGAGCCCTCCTGCAAACCTTGAGAAACAACTAAGCCTTTTTTTTTTAAGTTCAAAGACAAAAAAAATTTCAAAACAAGATAATAGAAGGGTAACAATGGTTAACACACTGTGTATTGTTCTTTAGTTACTCAGAGTACAAGATTGGCATTTAATTGTCCAAACAATACTAGCACAAACCTTTCCTTTCAATGAACCAAGAGAAGTGAGTAGTAGAACTATATATATATTTTTTCTTAATTTTAATTTTTTTTCTTTTCCCTTTTCTCCATTCCCCATCCCAGTTTCTCTTTGCTTTTGAAGAGAAACAACTAAAACTTCACCAGCCTAACTTCGCAGCAGGTTAAATACACCAAACTGAGCCAGGTGTGGTAGCATGTGCCTATAATTTCATCACTCTGAGAGGCTGAGGCAGGAAGATCACAAATTTGAGCACAGCTTGGGCAACTTATTGAGACTGTGTATCAAAAAAATAAAAAAAGGGCTACAGATGTAGCTCAGTACAAAGGCCCTGGGTTCAATCCCCAGTGCTGCCAAAACCAACCAAACAAGCCCCACCAAACTGGACTAGGGTTGTTAACTGTGGTACAGTCCTTGCCTGGCATGTGTGAGACCCTGGGTTTGATTCCTAGCACAAACATAAACACAAACACACTTCCCTCCAAATTAGTCCCAACTTGTTTATGTTTTTAAATGTGACAGCTGAACCACATACTGAGGGCTTTTCACACACACAAATTTTTTTTTTTTTTTTTTGAGGCAGGGTCTCACTAGGTAGTACAAACTTGTTTTGAACTGTGTGGCACAGGCTGGCTTCAAACTCGGGGGAATCCACTGGGTGTGGTGGCGCACGCCTGTAATCCCAGGCTGAGGCAGGAGGATCGTTGCAAGTTCAAGACCCGCCTGGTCTACAAAGTGAGCTCAAAGCCAGCCTGGCGTGTGTCAGCACAAATTCTAACAGGGAAAATAATAATGTTCTCTACCATGAAGAGGTGGAGAACAAAGCAAGATGGGAAAAGATGAGGAACATACAATCATGGAATGTAACAGCTGACCACGACTTCACCAACAATGCTTTGTCCACACAGTCTCATTTCCAAGGCCCACACTGCACACACACAGCACAGCAGTCTATACAGTGCTGTTTCTTTTGCAGCACTGGGGATGGAACTCGGGGTTTTGCACATGCTACGCACGCTCTCCATCACTGAGCTATATGCCCTGCTCAGAAGACCAGAGTTCCAGCCCAGCACTGACAGAACCTGACTGCTACACTTAAGTCCACACTGAACACTCCAACAGGAAGGAACAAACTAAGAGTGTGAAGGCAGCAAGGCACAAGGCACAGTCAGAACACCAAGCTGCCAATTTGCCAGGGCACAGGATACTATAGAGGAAGACTATGTGGTACAAAAAAGAAAGGCTGGTTCAGGCCAGAACTTAACGACTCTGGATCCCAGAACTGGGGAGGCTGAGGCAGGAGGAGCACTGTGAATTTGAGGCTAGCCGACACTACATAACGAGACCCTGTCTCAAAAACAAACAAAACAAAACTCTGGGGCTTGGGATATAGCCCGATAATAGGATCTGTGTCCTGTCACTGAAGTGATCCCTAGAACTACAAAAACAAAAAAAAGAAAAAGAAAAAGTTTAAATGCCTATATTTCAGCTGGGGTGAGATCTAACAAGATATAAACAGATAGAAAAATAGATTTTTTTTTTTTTTTTTTTTTAAAGACAGGGTCTTAAAAAAAAAAAAAAGACAGGGTCTTGCCATGTAGTTCAGGCTGGCCTTGAACTCACGGCAATCCTCCTGCCTCAGCCTCCTGAGTGCTGGAATTACAGGCATGCACCACCATGCCCAGCAAGAGATATATTTCTACATGTACAAAACAAAACAAGTCTCACAGGAGAGTACACACCTATAATGCCAGCACTCTGGGAGGCTGAGGCAGAACGATCACAAGTTCTAGTTCAGCCTGGGCAACTTAGTGAGACCCTGTCTCAAAATGAAAAATAAAAAGGGTTGGGGATATAGCTCAGTGCAAGGCTCTGAATTCAACCTCCAGTACTGTCAAAACAAACCAAACCAAATCAAACCAAACCAAAATATAAACCAGATCACAAGGAACTATTAATTGCTAGTTAAAAGGAATTTCAGGAACCTCTTACTTCTGTAGGTGCAGATACTGGAAAGTATTCAATCCTTGTATTTCTCAAATATGCCATCTAAATATCTGCATAGCCAACAGTGGTGCTGTGCTGAGTACACCTCTCCACGAGCTACCTCATGAAGCTCCACGAGAGAGGTCCAGGGTGTGTCTCATTCACCTCTGTATTCCTGCACCCAACACACTACCTGGAATTTGACAGCCAGTCCAAAAGAATTCACCAAGTCCTCACAACAACCCTGTGAGGCAGATATTATCATCCTCTTTGCTTTACAGAAGAGGAAATTTCTAAGAAGGGCAGAAACATTCCCAAGAACACAGAGCACAGGTAGACAGACTAAAATGCAGATTTTCTTTCATTCACAGCCCAGCAACCTTTTCACACCATAATGCTTTTACAATGGAAATCCTTTAGGCACTTCTCTCCTCTGTTGAAATCATTTCAAGGCTCCCCACTGCCTACAGAAGAAAATCTAAACATCTTAAGTGCTAGAAATGAAGACCCTCCAGTCTCTGCTCTGAAACTGCTCTGCAGAACCTTCCAAAAGGATTCACTGGCCTATAGCCAGCTTTTTTCAGTTTCACCTACACCTTTGCATCCCACCCCACCATCAGGGAGCAGCTGCTGCTGAGCTGCTCCAGCTCTTCTGTGCAGTGCTTTCATCACAAGTTGCCTTATTATTTGGTGTTTCAGAAACATACTTTTTGCTTATTGCTATGTTTTGCTATGTTGTCCAGGCTGGCCTATTCAACTTGCTATCCTCCTGCTTCAGCCTCCAAAGTGCTGTGATTATAGGTGGCCGCCACTACATTCAGCTTCAGAAACATACTTTTGTCTCCTTAGTGGGTTACTAATTTTGCTATTCAAACTGATACTACAGGCTTAGGTGAGTGAGCAAAGTTTTAGGACTCCGTGAGTTTGCTTTCTACAAACACACCAGAACCTTTTGATTACTTCAATTTAGGACAGGCTTGACTAAATAAACTCCTAATGCATCCAAAGAGGATTACTTTCAACCGGGAAGGACAGCACAGCATCAGAAACTAGGTTCCTGCGGGTTCCATTTCTACACAGACCCTTTGTACACGAAGATGTTAAATGTGAAATTTCTTCCCCCTCATTACTGAGGGTTGAGCACAGGAGCTTGTGTAAACTAGGTAAGTGCTCTACCACGGAGCTACATGCCTAGCCCTTTTTAAAAATTTATTTATTTATTTTGAGACAAGGTCTCACTATGCAGCCCAGGCTGGCCTTGAACTCACAACGATCCTCCTGCCTCAGCCTCCCAAGGGCTGGGACTACAGGTGTGCGCCGCTATGCCCAGTGAGCCCTTTCTAAATTTTATAACAGGGTCTTGGTAAGTTGCGCAGGTTAGCCTCACACTTGTGTCCTCCTACGCAGTCTCTCAAGGAGCTGGGTTACAGGTGTGCCCCCCCTACACCCGCTGACAGTATTTTCATAGAACCTACCTCTTTGCCCTTTGCGGTACCTCCTTCTGTCCATTCCACAAAAACGCAGGACCTCTCCAAGTCTACACGTCCTACAGTGGCACTGTGAATCAAGCCTATAAAAAGACTAGAGTTACCAGTGTCCTGAGAGCTTCATGTTTAGGGATTATTTTCTTTTAGGATCCCGCAGGGACTCCCAATGTGGAGTTTACCTAGGAAGGGGCAGCTGACGTTTTTTCTCCTTTAAAACAGGCACACACTGAGAGAGACAAATCACAAATCTCGTGGAGCTTCAGCGTTAGAACATCTCAGTGAGGTGCGCAGGGAACAGGTCTCAAGACCGAGCCACCTGGGAGAGTTACACACTCCATTCACACGGACGCCCGCAATGGGGTGCAGGTATGTTTGGGCAGAGGACTCACTATGGTGGGGCAGATAGTCCTGACCTCGGCAGTGAGGATCTGGACCCCTTGACCTTCCCTAACCCATTTCCGGAGGTCATGTCTGGCCACTCTCCTAATGACACGAGTGTTGGGGCTGCCAGAGCTGCAGGGGTAACTCAGAGCCCGGCCATTCGGGAGCGGGACCGTACTCTCAGCCGCCTCGGCGCTCACGGGTCCCCTTGGCTTTAGGACGCTGCCTCTCACCATTACTGCGTTGGATCTTGATGGTGAGACCGGGAGACAAGCGAGACTGAAGCGATGACTCCATAGGCACTCGGAGATCCGCGGGGAAGAGAAATACAAAACGCTATATAAACCACAACTCTGCTAGGGAAGCGCCAACGCCGCGTAAACCGTCGCAGTTTAAATCCCGCGCGTCAGCGCTCCTGTAACGTCATCACGCTGCCGTGGGTTCTGCTTCCGCCAGTCAGAGAAGCCCCGCGGAGCCTTCTGGGACACGTAGTCCCTAGGCCGGGACCAGAGACTCTCCTCCGGCTCCGGGACCCGTCCCCCAATTTGCCTGGCCACACCCCCGCGCTGTGGCTGCTGGGAAGTTCGCCGGGCTTGGGATCTGAGACGCCGAGTTCCCACCTTAGTACCGGACCGGTCTTCCGCTGTTGGCTTTTAGGCACCGAAGCTCGTCTAGGGAGTGTGGTTGGGCTTTCCAGACTTCTGCAATTACTGGCAAGTGACTTCGGACAAGTCGAAACTTGACTCTTGGTTTCCTTTTTTGCACAGTGGGCGAGCATGTTTCCTCACTCGAGAAGTTGTATAGAAAGTGCTTTTCGAGATGGGCGTGGTGGCGCAAGCCTATAGTCCCACTACTCCGGAGGCTGAGGCAGGAGGGTCGCTGAGAGTTCGAGGCTACTCTGGGCTACATGGTG